CGAGATGCAAGCCGAGATACTTCACACAGGTACTTTGTGGAATTGGTGAGCCGTTAAGTGTAACATTTGGGCAGTTACCTGGTCTTAATGAAAACGTTATTTGGGCGGATTTCAGGGAGTTTATTCTAATTTTCCATCGAAGGAACCAGTCTTCAATTAGGCTTAGCTCACTCTGCAGGAGTTCAGAAGCTTCATTTATAGATGTGCTTGTGGCTAAAACGGCTGTATCATCAGCATATGTTGCTGATGATAAAACAATCACATGAAATAAAATAAAAGATAAACGAAAACAACAACACAAAATATGTTAGGATAGTTTTTTCGTTAAGTTCCGTTCGTTAATCTATGTACGCGGAGGCCCCATTTGTTGTAAAATCCCTACACGGCTTTAATAAAGTAGAACAAAACCATATTCGGCATTAAATGCCCATTTTTTATCTTGCCGGAGCTATCAACTTTTGATGGCATCATAGGGCTCGACACGCTAACGGAAGCTGGCGTCAATATAAACCTGGGGACAACAAATCTCCATTTTGGACAGGAATCTGAAAAGCTCCTATTCCACAAGTGCCCCAGAGTTAACTTCACAATAGGGGACGACATCGAGGTCCCGCCAGCAGTAATTGAAGAGTTTCTCAGAACGATGTCCAGCCGTATAAAAGCATTTGCAGATCTGACTGAAATGCTTCCCTTCAACACAGCCGTAGTAGCCACAATTAGGACCGAGGATGAAGAGCCAATCTACTCGGAAATTTACCCCTTCCCTGTAGGAACCACGGATTTCGTCAATGACGAAGTGAAGGACCTATTGCCGAAAAAAATCATTTGGCTCTCCAGGTCTCCGTACAACAACCCCATGTGGGTTGGGCTCGGATATCCGGACACGGCGAATTCGGGAGAGGCACTCAGAGAGCTGGGAGCACAAAATGGCGGCTAAGAAGAGTGCGGATGGGTGGGATCGGGCCGGAAGTGGTTTAAGTAAAAGGTTAAAAGGTTAAAGGTTTAAGGTTAAAAGTAGTTTAAGCTATTGAGAAACTAATGTTAACTATCGATTGATAAGTAGTTAGTAACCAAATAGTATAGTAGATTATCAGCTGCATAGAAGCGAAACGTCACCGCAGAATGTGCGTCGCGAAGTCCCAGGCCTCTGCCAACGTCGCAGCTACAAGTATTAGTGCATGTAGAACACGCAGCTAGAAGTCCCAGCTACATTTGCATAAGTGCGTGTAGAGCACGCAGCCAGAAGTCCCAGCTACATCTGTATAAGTGCGTGTAGCCAATGATTTTTTAGCGCTCCAAACCGGTTCTGGCTTGATTCACACGGACACTGCAAGTAATGTATGTGTTGGTGCGCTGACTTTCTGAAGTGCGATGGAACGAAAATTCGTTTTGATGATTTGATTTTGTTTTCGGGGCTTGGCGTATGAAGCTGACCTACCGCATCATGTGCAGAATGAGGGGTGGGGATTGGTGGCCGGACCTTTGGGGGTTAGAAAAAATAAATATACCAATAAAAGTTGTTATTGTAATTGTATGCTGTAAGTGTTTTATATGCAGATTTTATACTGCTTTATTCAAAATTGTATGCATATTATGGAAACGGCGTCGCTTCTCGACTTCGTTGCTGCCGTCTTATCAACATTGTTACCAAATCCATCTTTTACAGACAAATCATTTCAGATAAATATAAAAAAATATATATGTATATAAGCATATATGTGTAAACACATATGTATATATATTTCTCGACTTCATGTGCGCTTTAATTGTTAGCGTTTCAAACGTTGTACTTTTTTTTTTGTTCTGAGCTCACATACCCTTCATACCCTCAAGACTTTATGAAGAGGCTTGCCCCTCAATATCAAAATAAATTTATTTTGTGTGACCTTTAAATTAGGATGAAAGGGGTAATGGATATAAACATCTGAATATGTATACAAATAATGAATTACGGCAATTGACTTTGCGTTGCAAATATTTTCCATTAGAGTATTCAGGGTTACGTTGGCAGAGGCCTGTTACTTCGCGACGCACATTCTGCGGTGACGTTTCGCTTCTATGCAGCGGATAATCTACTATACTATTTGGTTAGTGGCTACACCCACCGTATTTTGCATCCCGACTGCTGTAATTACACAATGTTACAGGCGCATCTCGAAATCTCGCCACTCCCCCACAAGGGCCGGAAATCTGCTACATCCATAATATTAAAGATAAGAGAAAAGATAATAGCGCAGCTGGGTATAGAATTTCCAAATCTATCAGATCACCGAATAAGTATCATATCGGGTCCATTGGATACGCTTAAACCAATCCAGCAGCTTTGTTTATTTTTTGCTCTTTCTCTCTCGCTCGCACATTTTGCCTTGAACAATGTGAGGCTCTTGATGATAGGGGCGACT